CACACACACACACACACACACGCACACACATATACCAAGAAAAATGCAACTACAGGAGGGGCTACCAGGGCAGGGCCGGGAGCTACTCATGAGACCCTGCCCAAGCCCTCCAACCTCTTGGAGCCTCTGCTTTTCCATCTTTAAGAAGGGAACGGGGGGTGGGGTGGGGGCTGAGGGGGAGGTTTGCCTCACACAAAAAGCGTGAGAGAGCTGTGCCGATTGGGCAGAGCTGTCCCTGATGCAGACAGACGGTGAGGAGAAGGATGGTGAGAGGCAGGAGGGAACACGGTGCGCCCCGCCTTTTAAAAGAAAGCAACAATTAAAAGAGTTACACCTGCCAACGAATTAGTGCACTGATCAGGATTAGCAGCTGGTGTTTACCCATTCGGGGGTTTATACTGTCCTGATGAACTAATTTGTCATGAACTATGAGTATGTTTGCAGTCAAAACCCCAATTCAAAATGAGTCCCCAAAGATTTCTAAAATGCCCAAGCACTGGAATCCAGTCTCTCTGTCTCTCTACAGGGACAGCTCACTGTCTGTGCTGGAAGGGCAGATTCCTGTCCACAGACACTGGGTGATGAGCAGACATGGAGGAAATGAGGAGGAAAAGGACAAAAAAGCCATGTACAAAGCGGTGTGCTCCACCGGCCGTCCTCGTCACCACGTTTTTTTCCTACGGTGCCAATGTGGGTTTCTGTCACTCACCTTCCAAGGCCCCAGTGGGGCTGTTTAAAAAGATATAGATCTAGATATGGGTATAGATATAGATATCTCTTAAATAGAGATATGCATCTTTTACATTGATACTATATATCTTTTATATAGAGAGAGTTTAAATATATCTTTTACATACATATATATATAGAGAGAGATACATACACACACATATATGTAACATGAACTAAAGTGCAGTGTTCAGTTGACGTTATGAGTAAAGTAAGATGAATATATAAAATAAATTTAGAAATATTATTTCTATTACACAAAGTTTTTTTCAAACAAAATGGTGTTATATATTTATTTACGCCCCGCCCCATTCTGAAAGGGTTTTAAGGCAGAAAACAAACTAGGGGTGGAAATAACTTCTGCAGCATCCCGCAACCCGCCCTCTCCTGCTGGCACCGACATACTGCTTTACTTCATAATCCATCATTTTCGTCATGAGGAAGGACAGAAGAGGTGAAAAGGAGCTAAGATTCACATGGAAATGGTGACTTTTCAAAGTGTACGATTTTCCTGGTAATCAGAGATGAACTGTTTCTGCCTGGTCTTAAAAATTATTTGACTTTCTGATTATGATTTTAAAAACTCAGAGATTTTACCAAAGTATTGTATATTTAATCTACCCTATCACAAATATTAACCAGTTTTATTTGATCTGATCACACTAATAATGAAATGCTTTCTTACGTTTTGGAAAGTATTTGGGTCAATTGCTAAATGCAGGGAGGGTAACGATCTCTGTCTCAGTCTGTGTGAGTGCATGGTGTGTGTGTATCTGGTGTGTGATGTGTGTGGTGTCTTAGTGTGATGTGTGGTGTTTGTGTGTGTGTGGTGTAGTGTGTGGGAGGGGTGTGTGTGGGTGTGTATGGTATATGTGGTGTGTGCAGTGTATGTGCTATGTGTGTGTTGTATGTGTTGGGTAGTGTGAGTAGTGCATAGTGTGTGTGGTGTGTGGTGCGTGTGTGTGTGTGTGTTGTGTGCTGTGTGTGGTGGGTGTGTAGTATATAGTGTGTGTAGTGTGTAGTGTGCATGTGGTTTATGGTGTGTGTCATGTTTAGTGTGTGGTGTATGTGGTGTGTGTGTGAGATATGGGTGGTGTGTGCTGTGTGTCTATATGTGTGTGTGTGGTGTGTGTGTGAGATATGGGTGGTGTGTGCTGTGTGTCTATATGTGTGTGTGTGTGGTGTGTAAGTGTGTGATATGTTGTATATGATGTATTTGGCGTGGGTGCGCGTGATGTGGGTGCTGTGTGCGTGTGTGTGTGATATGTTGTATATGATGTATTTGGCGTGGGTGCGCGTGATGTGGGTGCTGTGTGCTGTGTTGTGTGGTGTGTGTATGTGGTATATTGTGTGTGGTGTGTGTATGTGGTATGTTGTGTGTGGTGTGTGTATGTGGTATGTTGTGTATGGTGTATGTAGTTTGTGTCTGATGTTTTCTCAAGGTTTAGCTGGTGAGTTTTTTACCCTGTCTCTAGATGTTCAATGCCTGTGGGAGTACAGCCAAGCCTGGGAGCCACAGCCTGTGGAGTTTGTGCAAAGTAATTATACAAAGTGACCTGCTAATTCATAAACGTCATATTAGGTGGCAGGCAGGGAGTGACTGTTCATAAGCAAGTTTGTTTCCGAGAGTTTCTTTCTTATAGAAATTAAGTGTAGAACTTCTACATTAGACATAAGTCACATCACTTTTATCTTAATTCAGTGAGTAAAAGTATCTTCAAACACTGTATGCATTTCTAAGCATTCTTTATTTAAATAATTACATATTTTCAAATATTCAAGAATTTAAAGCTTTAAAAGTATAAAACCACATCATCTATTTTAGAACTAAGATGTCGATAGGCAATATTAGTAAATATGGGTGATATGTGAAAATATGAATGACACAAACAAATAGTCACCACTGGATCCTGGAAATATTTCCAACAACAATAATAAAAAGAGCATGTTTAGTGTGGTACTGCCTTCAGGTGAGTGTGCTACGATATTTAATTTCATCTCTTCAAGATGAGGAGCAGAAATCGGATCAGGTGTATGTGATCGTATCCCATGGCATTTTGTCAGTAAAATAGATATCGTTTACAAATTCTCATTGCTCTACACTTTATAGGAAATTTTAAAGCTTTTTTTGTGGGAAAGGGGGAAAATAAAATCTTCTACTTCAATCCGCCCCTGTATGGGGCTGGACCTTGTTGGGTTTGTGGTTCCATGTTCATTAGAGTCTCCCTCGTCCGCTGGTCTAGGACGCTCAACAGGGCAGAGGCTGCATCCTCGGGGTCTCGCACGAGCTCAGCACAGAACAGATGCTCAGATGTTGTGAGTCCTACAATGCCTTCTAATGCTGGGGGCTGCGCGAGATGCCAGACTTGACATCAAGAGGAATTGAGTCAGGTCCACACCCTTAGAAACCAGTCTACTTAGAGACATAAATAGCTAAGGCTCAAACACTGGTATTTACCTGGCAAACAATTACTTATTTTGGTCAGGCGTCTTCTTAGCCTTATTCTAGCACTAATACTGGGCCCCATGTGTCCCATTGACCTGTGTGGGGACAGGGGCCTGCTGGGCAGAACAGACCAGGTAGTCCTGAGTAGGGGCAGGACAGGCTCCAGAGGTCTCTGCTGTATTTGCCCAAATTCAGAGGTGAGTGTCCACCAGCAGACCACACCCAAGTCATGGGGGCTGAAGAAAGCCCCAGACGAGAGGGGGGGCATGGTCCGGGGGCAGCAGTGCAGGAGGTGTGGGCTGCCTGCCAGACGTGGGGAGGCCCTTCCCGTCATGCTCCTGCAGTGAGGCTGGGCCTGGCCCGGCAGCACCCACAATGTGTAAGCAACGACACCCAGAGGCAGTCTCCTAGGAAATGTCTGGCCCCAGTCTTGCCGTGATCTGAGCAAGTCTCTTAGTCAAAATCTTGCCCCACACAAACAGGGGAATTTTGTCCTACAATTTGAAAGAAACACACACAAAGGTACAAGAGAAAGAACAAGGAAGAGGAGGAGAAAAAGAAAGAGGAGACCAATACAGGGTGTTTGGTGTTTAATAGCTCCTCGGGGAGAATAGAAACAGTCCTCTCAAGGTGTTCTGGAATCTTCCCCAACCTCCTCATAGTTCAATTAAAGTTATTCTCCTGAGTTCTATGTGGGGAATAGGAAGAAGCCAACTTTTCAGGATACACACCACGTACAACATTCTAGATACATTTCAAGGTTCTGAGCTGTCTGCAGAGCCTTGACATAAGTACTGTAATTAGGTAAATATGAGCATATTCATGCCCAACTTTCCCAAGTGCCACCCCCTCCTATGCTCCAAACTGCATTTTGAAGGTACGTGATGTTTTAAATAGGTTTATACACCTGTTCAAATGTCAGATGAGAGATAACAGAAGAGAGGAAAGTGTCCATAGATAAAGAGGTGCCCGCCATGTCCAGAACCCCACATCAGGAAGAAGGTCTGCAAATTCCACAGTGCATCCTTTGGGGCAAACTCAAAGCCCTAGTTAATCCTCTTACCTCCATCCATGAGGTTGGCCCAGTAAATGACTCTGAACCCCTGGAGAATTCCATTCAAGGCTTCCTTGGAAAGTGTGGACCAGGATATTGATATGCTTTCTGGTGATGTTGCTATGGCTTGGACATTTTCGGGGGGGTAACTGGGCACTGAAATTAAATAATTAGAATCTGTAACAACTGTGGGTGGTTTTGTTAGCAAAGCAATACTGAAAAATCAACATAGTTTAATATTTCAATGTGCAAGCAAAAGAAAAAATTGCACTCAATTCCCAAAATAAGAGAAAAAAATGAGTGCCACTTCCCTATACAAATAATTCGATAACTTGATAAAATACTATGAGTTTATGCATCTGTCCTAGCGAATCCCATGGTCTCTCTTTCCAACATAATTGCGTCACTGTTACAGGTCTTCCCAGACTTGAGTATGCTTCTGATCTTACTGCACGTCTCACTTATGTTCCCACCGCTCCTGCAAGTTACATTTACTTCATGCAGTATATTCCCTCTGTATTTAGCAATATCTGGCAGACAGATTGCAATCCTGACTAGTGAAGTGTGCTCTCACCACCCATCCCCATCAGCCCTCTTTTTAGTGCTATAATGTTTGTAGGAAAGAGAGACAACGGACTGAGAGACAAGTTAGAAGACTATCTGCAGGATTTTTAATACTGAGTTTTTGCAAACCTTAAATGTTGAGCTGGAAGAAGGTGCAAAATATTGACTGAAACATGTATCTTAGTGAAAATGAGCATTGAAGCAAAACCAAAGGCAAATTTAACCACTATTGCAAAGATTATGACAGTAGAAAGAAAATCCTAGTCTTCAAGTTGCTAGTTATCTAAGACCTCTGTCCCTGTAAAAACTGTCAGGAATTAACAGATGCAAGTCAGAATTTGCTTCCTCAAATCCGCGATCAAATGGGTAATTGCACAAAATGTAGTTATGGTGCGAGCTTGGGGCCTTCAGATCGACCACTTAGGGCTGCAATTAACCCCATATCTTATCTCTCCATCTCAAACACTGTGCCTTGGGACAACAGGGCTCTCTGTCTTCAAGCACTTCTGGAAATTGCAACGTTCAGGTTGTTTTTAGTGTCACAGTGGTGGAAGGGCAAATTAATTCCTCACACTCACTAGGGGGCGCTCCATCACTGTGAGATCTGCTCCAGGAAGCCTGCTAATTCTTTTCTTTGATCTCAGAATGGAAAGCAATAGGGAAGAAAAAAGCTTCTTAACATTGATTTGGAAGAAATTCTTAGAAAATAGGATTTCTGCATTCCAGTCAGACTTCTACAGCAGTAGGGAGAGCCTTTGTTTCCCTTGGGAAAAGCCCAATTCTTGTGCTTGAAATGAATGAGGAAGATTCTGAAAAGGGGATGGATTTTAGCTTTGCAATTCAGACCTGTCCAGGGTGGGATCGAATCAGTGTGGTGGGCAAGATAATTAGGCCGGGCTTTCTCACCGGAAACCCCAGCAGAAAGCAAGGCAGTGGGAGCCAGAGTGGCCACCAGAGCAAACCATTGAGGAAGGAACCTACCATCCTCGAGGGTGGTGGTGATAATTTCCTGAGAAGAAGGTCCCGTGCCAGCCCGGTTGCAGGCCTGCACCACCAGGCCATACTGGGTGAACTTATTTAGGTTGTCCAGGGTGTAAACCTCACTGTCCCCGGTGGTGTCGATGCTGATAATGTTGAATTGGAAGTTGCCCCCAGTGCTGTACTCTCGGTAACCTATTTGGTAGCCACGGATAATCCCATTTTGCAAATGTTTCTTGGGAGCCTAAACAGGAAAGAAAAGAATACACTAAAGAAGACTTGAGGTAGGACAAGAGCGAAATCAACAGCCACACCAACTCAGGAAACAAAAACAAAGCCGAGTGACAACAGTAACAGGTGCAGGAGTAGCAGCAGTGGCGTTGGGGGTCGTGTTAGTGGCTGCAGCTCCTCTGGCTTGTTCTTTGCTGGGCATGCTTACTCCACCTGTGTTAATGCACCCGACCCTCACCACTGCTCTCAGAGCCAGTACTATGATGACCTTCATTTTACAAGGTCACCCACGTGGCAGTGGCAGAAAGGGAAGCTGAAACCGGGCATCTGTGCTCTTAGCCCCTGCGGGGTGCTGCTGTGTTGACTTGTCTAATTGGCGGGAAAGTTTCAAGAGACAGACTGTGTTCGTGCTGTCTCACGTACACCAATGATCACACAGGGAGACCGACCTCCACGTGTTCACCCAACCATGCGGACTGAGCTTGCACTCTGTGCCAGGCACGGCTCTAGGCGCTGGGGAACAGAATCGAGTTTTTTTTTTTTTTTTTAAGTTCCCTGCCCTTGTGGAGCTTACATTCTAAGGGATATCTGAGAACAATTTTGTTTACAGGTTGAAAACTGGTGTGTGAAGGGGAGTCCATCACCGACAGGAACACAAACCCTTTTCCTTAAGGCCTATGTCATTTTGGGTCATTTTGTAGTGATTTAAATGGGGGAGGGAGAGGCTGGAGTTAGCTGCACTTGCTGATGAGAAAAGGATCTGCGAAGTCGAAGACAGTACAATTTTGGCTGATGTGGACTTCTTTAGGAAGCAAGACCCTTTTTAAGTGTAAGAACACCACCAAGGTAATGCTCCACATAAAGTTTCTGTAGACTTTCAGGCAGTCAACAGGCGTGTGTGCATGTGTGTGTATGTGTGTATTTTTTGTGTGTATTTATGTGCATGTATACATATATATAAACACACAGATGTCCCTCTGTATCCACGGGTTCTGCTTGGCAGATTCAACAAACTATAGATTAAAATACTTTTAAAAAACAATAAAAATAACAATAAAAATAATACAAATAAAAATACAGTATGACAACTACTTACATAACATTTACATTGTATTAGGTGTTATAAGTAAGCTAGAGATGACTTAAAGTATATAGTAGGATGTGTGTAGGTTGTATGCAAACACCACGCCATTTTATATCAGGGGCTTGAGCATCTGCGGATTTCAGTATCCACAGGATTCCTGAACCCAATTCCCCACAGATACTGCGGGACGACTGTATATACATATACATACATATATTTATATATATATTTAAGTACAAGTCATGGATTTAGACCTCCCCTGGCTATGGAAAGCTTTCTCTGTCCTGCAAGTGCTTACAGTCCAGCTGGAGAAGGAAAATAAACACTTAAGAACCAATAAAGAACTGTGAAGTGTCCAAGTGTATGGTGGCAGAAAGCAAAGGACAGCAGGTGTCCAGAAGCAGCCAGTGAGCGTGGTCCCAGGTAGTTGGAAGGGGCAGACTGCAGGTGGGGCAGCGAAGCCAGGGGGGGGCTGTGGTGGGCGGAGCCTGAGGGAAGAAGCCCCCAGGGCCCAGCACTGAGAAATGATGGAAACAGGCGGGGCAGAGCCAGTTCTTGAAAACCAGCAAAATGTGAACAAGGGGAGTACAGACAGTGAGAAATCAGAAAAAAAAAGGTTTTGAGCAGAGCAGCAGCCTTGATGAACTCAGCAAATCCTTATGGGCGGCCTCATGTGCTAACCTCCCAGTGGGAATAGATTTCTCAGGACGTCTTCAGGGTTAGTTCAAGTTCTACAAGAGCAGTGAAATCACATTTCTTTGTTAAAGCAAGTTTCTTCATTTACGGTTTTCTAGGGTTCCAGTTGCTTTTCTCAACAACTAGTCTGATTTAGTACATTTATGTAGTGCTAATAGATATCAGGGAAACATGATTTACTTGTCATGTAAAACATGGATTTTTTTAGTTATGTTGGTTGGGAGTTAGACGGTGGTTTAAGAGCTCACGCCTTTCTTATAAACAAATGTCTACGCAGCCCTGAATCCGCAGGCATGTTGCCTTTTGCACTGATCAACTATGGCTTTTCACTTTGTTTTGAAATAAGATTTTGTGATTTTAGCTTCTGAGAATTTGATTATGTGGAAACTTTTACTGCAACCACTGAATTGCATTTATATCATTTGACTAATTAATACAATTAATTTCCCTGCAAAAGTCATCTATAAGTCAGATTTAAAACAAAGAGGTTTTTTTCTATTTTACATAGTTTTTTAATGTTAAATACACTGACCCAAATATAAATGATATATTTTTTAAAATTAGGTTTACATTCATTAAGTAGTCTACCTAATTGTACAACTGGCTCCCTGTGAGGCTTTAAGCGTGTTTAAGATAGCAAGTCAGACTCACAGTATGGGGGCTATGTAGTCAGGTCAGGAGGGAAGTGTAGACAGTGGAGTCATATGCCTCTGAGAAAATGTTTACATAGAGCAACTAATTTATCTAATCCTCTTCAAGTAGTGAAGGACCTGCATGCTGACATTTAGTTCTTCAGGCTCAGGGGGATTAATCATGCCTGTGATCTGGCTGCACAGGTAGGATGGAAGAATCTTCCCTTTTTTCCTCTCTGTGGGTGAAAACATTCTACCTGGCTTAAGTGTAATACGCCACACAGGTATTTTTGTTCTGTTCAGTTTCAATATTTTGTTAAAAATTAAAGAACATTCTTTACATATTTCTCAGAAGAACTAAATTTTAGTCTTGCTAGTTCTAAAATAACATAAAGTTTGTTTCTGTTTATTTGATACTTCTGCAAAATATTGTGTAGAAAAATTTTATTTTGTTCTAAAATAAAACCATACAGCCACCGTTCCTATGCAACCTTATTCAAATTTTGATGCATTTCAGTCTGTTTAAGTAAATTTTTCCCTCACTTGGTTGTGTTCATGGTTGGTACAATTTGGTGCTTCATTTTTTTTCACTGAATATGCGATTATGACCACGTTCCCATCTTTATTTCACAGACTTTAAAAATTATATTCCATCGTATTGATGTTTTATTTTATTTAACCTTTTAAAATTACTGTAGGGGATATTTTTGTTTCCTAATTTATTTTCTATCACAAATGCTATGCTGAGAACCTTTGTAAATATAGTTCCTCTGTTTCTAAGTTTTTTATTAGACTCAAGTCCCAGAATTGGATGACTTGTCTTATTTTTAAAAGTATGTATTTCAATTAGCTGTTAATGAGATAGAATTTTTTTGTTATGTTCTTTTGGATGTGCAGTGAGATTTAGTAACTTAAGGGACTATGTTCATCACAAGGAACAAACAAAAGCTCTCCTCCATTTTTCTTAAAATTCCAATTGTAAGAGAAATACGTTGAATAGAGCTCTAAGTTATTCAAAGGTATTAGTGTGTTCACATCTTTTCTTTTCAGGGTGCTAATACAATCTATGGTTATCCTGCAGAATAAATTATTGCACCTGGGGAAGAAGTGAGAGATGTTTCTTATAAACGGAACTTACACATGTAGCTCCATCGCTTGCAGGCCCCAAACCATGAGGTGTTAAAAGGTAGTGTGGGAGGATGGGAGTGACCACCAGTGGTCACAAGGTTTCTCTTGGGGTGAAGAAAATGTCTGTGATGATGGCGATGGTTGCACATCTCTGTAAACATACTAACTACCATTGAATCATACACTTAAAACAGTGTACGTTATGGTATCTTAATTGTATCTCAGTAATGCTGTTGTTAAAAGGGTGGTGTGCTAAAGTCATCTCTAGGTTATTTATCTTTCTATTTCAATTAAAACACTAGCTGCCACCCCCCACCATGATGACCACCACCACCAGTAGACGCTCACCACGTCTGCACCACCTCTGCACCATCACTATCACCACTGCCAACATCAACACCACAACCTCCACCTCCCCGACCGCCACCGCCACCACACTATCACTACTGACGTCTCCACCACCATCACCACCACCTTCATAGCTGCCGATATCACTGTGACCACCTTCACCACTGCCGAAAGCATCATCACCAACTGCTATGGGTCAAATGTGCTCCCCAAAAGTTCATGCGTTGGAAACTTGATCCCCACTGTACTAGTGTTAAAAGGATGGGAGGTCCAACTATGATATTCGAAAGGTGGCACCTTTGCGAGGTAATCAGATTGTGTGAACTGTGCCCTCCTGAATGGATTGATCCATTCACAGAGTAATGGGTTGATGGTTTAATGGGCTGTCATGGGCGTGGCTCTGACGGCTTTATCAGGAGAGCAAGCGAGGAGGTCAGCTCCCTTGCTCATGCCGTTCTCATCAGGTGATACCCTGTATTACCATGGAACCCTGTAGAGAGTTCCCACAAGAAGAAGGCCCTCCTCGGAGGTGCCTTCTGGACTGTGGATTTCCCAGCCTCTGAAGCTATAACAAATAAGTTTCAGTTCTGTGTATATTACCCAGTTTCTGGTATTCTGTTATATGTGACAAAAAATGGACAATACATCAACTTTGCCACCAGTGGTACCAATATCATGACCATCACTATTACCTAATGGTGCAACCACCTCTACCAAATCTACCACCTTTACCACCACGTCTCACTACCTCCACCAACAAATCACTGCCACGACCTCCACTATCTGCACCGTCGTCACTGATATCAGCATCACCTCCACCACTATCCCAATACCAGCATCGCTGCCACCACATTTACCACCAATGCCACCACCATCTCCACCACCTCCACTTACTGAACATGGGCTTTGTCTAATCATTGTAACAGTTAGATTACGCACATAATCCCATTTGCTCTCACAACAGCTCCAGGAAATCTCCTCGTCCTTCTTTACGGATGAAGAAACTGAATTTCAAAGAGTTAAAACATCTTTCTCAAGGTGAGTATAGAGTTGGAATTCTAACCCTGGTCTCGCTGAAAGTTGTATTTAGCTTTAACCATCCACAGAGCCTCAGATAACTTTTCT